TCGTGTCTCCGCGTCTCCGCACCCTGACACTCTCCCTCCACTGCCCACACCACATCCCACATCCAGTGATCCCCAGTCTTCGACTTCCCTGGCCACCCCTTTCCGGGAGTCTCTCCGCCGGCGGAGTCACCATCAGGGATCACTAATGCCATCGGAGACCTCTCCGGATGTGAACGCACCACTTCCCTCTGAGACCTTGAGCCTATGGCCTTCTAGCCTCTCCGGGCTGTTACTTATCAAGGTCTCCTTACGATCTCTACCCGCTGGACCTCTTGGGTGTCCCCAACCTATGTCAGCGTTCGGGCTTATGTTCGGATGGCTGAGCCTCGCCATGGCTCCGCTCTCCACTCCGCCACCACGGCCCCCGTCATCGGGTCTTCCCCTGGGTGAGGCCTACTGCCGTTAAGGCTCGTGCCTACTGCAGCGCCCCAGGCTGCACGCCCTCACACCTCCACCTCTCTGGAGACGTCCGGGGACGTCTCCGAGTGACCCCTGTCGCTACCCTCCAGTGGTCATGGCTGGCCGCCATTCCCATTGGTCCTCTCCGACACTCCCCGGCCCTTGGGCTAGACCAGACTCCTTCCCTTTCCGCTCCACGCCTTCCCTCTCCGTTTCCGGCCGTCACGTCACGGTCACACACCCGGAGTCGATTCCGATTCCGGTTCCGACTCCGGTTGTCACGGTCACGGTCACAAGCGGAGACGCTCAGAGGCAGCCTGGACCTCCCGAAGCCCTTCTTAGGCCTTCTAAGGATGCCTGGGCTCCTCCCTTGGCATCACGGTCCCAAACCTGCCTCTCCGGAGCTTCAAGGGCTACTCGACACTCACCTAGGGTCCATTAGCGACACCTGACTTCTCCCATGCGTCGTTCGTCGCTATGCAGTCACTCTATCATTACTCCGGTCACTAGTATATAGTAGTGCACCTGAGCAGAGGGCTCCTTGGCTTGTTCTCTAAGGATTCCCCCTCTGCTCAGGTGAGTCTGTAGCGTCCCTTCCTGTTGTAGTAGTTCACTAAGGATTCCCCCTCTGCTCAGGACTCTGATTTCGAGCCTCGCGAGGTTGCCCTTACAGAGTGCTAGAAAATTCTATGCCACAAATTAGATCACATATAGTGCAAATCAATGGTTTATGTGGTGTCAAGACATAGCTTCCCATCTCCGGTTGAAGCAGAAGTGACCAGATGGTGCTTTATGTCACTGCTTTGTAAATGACTGGATATTCTTTCTTGGCGCCAGCATTGAGTAAAATGAATATGGCACTGATTTTAGCACCTAAATGAGAATTCCTAGAATGTGAGGCAGCAAGCAGAGCTGTTCTATACTTTCCACTAACTAAATTTACCTGTGCACCAGCACTAAGTAGAAGTTTGAGATGCTCTGTGTCTCCTCTATATGCAGCGGCCTGGAGAGCTGTTCCATGCTCACCAGCAACCAGATCCACCTGTGCATCTGAGTTAAGAAGAAGCTGGACAGATTCCAGTTGTCCTTCCAATGCAGCAGCCTGAAGAGCAGTGCCATAGTATCCATCAACTAAATCCACCTGTGCACCAGAGCTGAGTAGCAGCTGGAGAGTTTCTGTTCCCCACCATGATACAGCAGCAGCCTGGAGAGCTGTTGCATAGAAGCCAGCAACCAAATCCACCTGTGCCTCTAAGTTGAGCAGAAGCTGAGCAATTTTTGTGCGTCCTTTGTGTGCAGCAGCCTGCAGAGCTGTTCCATAGTAGCCACCAACCAAATTGACATTTGCACCTGAGTTGAGCAGCAGCTGGACAATTTCTGCTTCCCCCATATATACAGCAGTCTGAAGAGGAAATCCATAGTGGCCACCAACCAGATTGACCTCCGCACCTGAATTGAGCAGCACCTTGACAATTTCTATTTCTCTCACATATATAGCAGTCTGCAGAACACTTCCATAGTAACCAGAGATCAAATTGATCTGTGCACCTGAGTGGAGTAGGAGTTGAACAATTTTTGTTTCCCTTGTGTATGCAGCTGCCTGCAGAGCAGATCCATAGTATGTAGGAGCAACTAAATCCACCTGTGCACCTGATTTAAGCAGAAGCTGGACAGCATCTGTCTGTCCATTCTGTGCTGCAGCCTGGAGAGCACTTCCATAGTGACCAGCAATCAAATCTACTAGTGCACCTGAGTTGAGCAGCAGTTGAAGAGTTTCTGTATGTCCCTTAAATGCAGCAGCCTGGAGAGCTGTTCCATAGTAACCAGCAACTACATCTACCTGTGCATCTGAGTGGAGTAAGAGCTGAAGAGTTTCTGTTTTTCCTGTGTATGCAGCTGCCTGCAGAGCAGATCCATAGTATGTAGGAACAACTAAATCTACCTGTGCACCTGATTCAAGTAGAAGTTGAACAATATCTGTGTTGCCACATAGTGCTGCTGCCTGGAGAGGACTGCCATAGTAGCCAGCAACCAAATCTACCTTTGCATCTAAGTTGAGGAGAACCTGAACAATTTCTGTATATCCCTCATATGCAGCAGCCTGAAGAGCTGTACCATAGTAACCACCAACCAGATCCACATATGCACCTGAGTGGAGTAAGAGCTGAATAATTTCTGTTTGTCCTGTGCATACAGCAGCCTGTAGGACTGTTCCATAGTAGCCAGCAACCAAATTGACCGGTGCACCTGAATTGAGTAGGAGCTGAACTATTTCAATGTTTTGCTCATATACAGCAGCATGCAATGGAGTTCCAAAGTAACCAGCAATCAAATCCACCTGTGCACCTAAGTTTAGTAGGCATTGAACAGTCTCTGTCCGAGTCCTTCCCATGTATGCAGCAGCCTGGAGAGCTGTTCCATCTCGACCCACAATTAAATCCACCTGTGCACCATATTTTACCAGAAGCTGTATAATCTCAGGATATCCTGCATATGCAGCAGCCTGAAGGGCTGTATAATACTTTCCAGCAACCAGATCTACCTGGGCACCTGAGTCAAGCAGAAGCTGAACAATCACTGTTCTTCCTTTCAATGCAGCAGCCTGGAGAGCTGTTCCATATTTGCCTTCAATTCTGTCTATTTGACAATCCTGCTCTATCAGAAATTGGACAATTCCTTTATTGCCACTCCATGCAGCTGCATGTAATGCAGTCCCATAATGTCCATCAAGAAAATTTATTGCACCTTGCCTATCCTTTGAAAATAATGTTTTAAACAGTTCTTCATGACCTAATAGAGCAGCAAAAATTATTGCTATATCTGGCCCCTCCATACTACTTGAGAGATGCTCTGATAACTGAAGCAGATTTCCAAATACTGCAATAGCGATGGCCAAGTCCGGTTCGGTCCGGTTCTTGGCCATTTTTGGCCGAACGCCGTGTCAGGGTTCGGGTCGGGCCAACGGGCCCTATACGGCCCATCGGGCCCTCACCACCCTTAGAGCCCTAGGGCTTGACAAGCCCTCATAATTCACAAGCTCAAAGCAATGAGCAACAACACTAATATCCCAGAGAAGGGACATAATCACGGATCGCGCTTTAGTCAGCCATCAAGCCATCATGACCCGCCATCAGGGATCATGATGCGCCGCCGGACGCCCTTGACAGCGGGCCCAATCGGCCCTAGACAACCACAGGGTCCAGGAGGGAGCTCCTTACTGTTGCATTGCCAAACACTCCTTAGTGTCGACTTTGGCATGGCTCCTTTCCAGAGGAATGGTCCCTGGGCTCCTAGCGGAGCGACCAGGGACGACCAGAGACATCCCCTGCTCCCTTCTGATCGACCCTCAGCGGGCCCGATCGGCCCCTAGCGCCCACAGTATATAAAGACTAGAGTATTACTCCTGTACCTTAGGTTTAGCATTGAAGTCTCTTCCTTTGAACCCTACTCCGGCCTGGTCCCCTAGAGCGGGGTTGCTGCAACCATACCCCGGGAAAGGGGCGTCTAGACGACTTCCAACACCCAGGCTAGCTTGCCTCATTGACCTGAGCCCTTGGTTGGGCTGGACAGCTCAGGCTCTTGTCTCTTATGTTCACCCTTGTCCTAGCCACTTCTTCCTGCTCTCTGGCCTCAAGCTCTGGGTTCCCCTGGTACGGGGCGATGGGAGGGTGCGGGCCCGATCGGGCCCGCATGTCACGCGTCACACCGCGCCGTCACGCGGTGTCTAGGAGCCACAGCGACTCGTTACTCCAGGAAAGGAGATATGTCGCCCCTTGGACTGGCAACCCTTCTCAAGCGCTCCAGGGGTCTCGGGCCCGCAGCCCCTGTTGCGGGGCGACTCCCCTCGACCCCCGAACCGTCGGGCGTGACCGCGTTACGTCACGCCCCGCCCGAACGGCTTGTTCAACTGGCCCAGCCTATGCCTTGCCCTATGTCTTGGGCACCAACTCTACTAGGCAGCGATCTTTGGCTATGGACTCGTTCCCTTCAGCAGGGGTAGGAAACTCTAGACGACTACTCGTATCCTGTGACACCGCTGTCACACAACGTGGCAGGGGCGTCTCGAGTCGCCCCGAGCTGTCCCTACCCTGCTCTCTATTGCAGCAGTGGCCCCATCTACGCTGCCTGGTTGCCAACCACCCAGCTATGGGGGTTGAACCATCTTTCCCACACTTGTCAGGCTGGCAGGAGACCGTCACGTGGGCCCGGGCCGGCCCTGTTCCTGACACGCCGGACCGCCGGTTCGGTTCAAAATCGGATTTGGCCGAACGTGAACGCCGAACGGCGGTTCGAACCGGCCCCGAACTGGCACTTTTTAGCCCAAAATGGCCGAACCTGGCCGAACCGAGGGCCAGGTTCGGTTCGGAAACGGCATTCGCCGAACCTGAACGCTGAACGCGGGTTCAGTCCGGTCCGGTTCGGGTTCGAACCGAAATCCCGAACCGGACCTGGCCATCGCTATACTGCAACAGAAAGAGGTGTCAATCTTAAATCTATCTTTCTCAAATTACGCCATGGCACTGACCACCATTGACCATACACCAGTCTTTTTGACAAATAAATGATGTGTTCTATACATTTGATCAACTCAGATTGAAGTACTACTTCTGCTGAACCCTTTGCATGGAACAGAATATTTTGGGCATATTCAAACAGATAGTAATCGTCTATATTTCGCTGAGCAGTCAGGGGGACCAGTCCCAAATAGATACACAAGATATGTGTGATCCTGATATGCATATCTGAAAATGGGGCATATTTGATTTTCTCTAGAAAGTCCTGGGCTGTATAGTGCACAAGCCGTATATCTGAGGACTTGTCCTGGATAATGAGCCCACCACATATCTTGATGATATAGCCAATTCTAACCAGCTGCTTAGAACTAGGCAGTTGTGTAGTTTTTGTTGTCATAGCAAGTGCTGTCTGCAGTTCAGATCCTGTCAGTGGATATCTGGCATGTGAAACCCATCCCAGAGCAAGCATTGCAAGCTCTGCTTGCTTTGCTGGTTGATGCTTGATATGCTCTATGGTTCGGCTATATCCAATGTCCAGATCATCTGGCAAATCATCCAGTGCTTGCTCCAATGCCTCCACTGTTAGCACAGTACTTAAAAGCTGGATGTGTAGCTGGACCATCAGGAACCTAGAGATACCTCAGCCTGTTACATATTTATATATGCATAAACTTACATGCCATTAGCCTTGATAATCATTTTGTTAATCACTTCCTCTCTAAGATCAATATCTTCAGACAGAAACTCCCTAAGAGTTTGATGCTGGTCTATCTCTGCTGTGACATATGATTTTATATCTTCTTCATTTGCCTGCAATGCTATCATAGTCATTGAATACTGGGAGGGCAGAACTAGATGAGGCCTTGACATTATCATCAAGTTCACATTCCCTCCAAACTGGAGAAATTGTGTGAGTAATGGATGATATTCACCATGCTGGTATTCATCCATTGCATCCACCACAATATAGACAATTCTGAAAGTAGCTGATAGTGAAGAAACAAGCTTTTGGATCTCAGATAAGCTGGGATGGGTGCCCTTTTCCCTATGGGAGTTGTAGAGATCTCTGGCCTGTAAGATATCCTTATTTATCTTGAGCTGTCTCCAGATAGCTGCCACAAGATTCTTTTCAGTTTGGATCTCTGTCTCCTTGAAGTTCAGATAAACTGCAGCCACTCCAATTTCAGAATCCAGCTGTTGAAGCTGGGAAAAATAGTCCACCACTTTAGATCTGTAAACAATTTCTTAGTATATATGGTCCAGTCAAATCTGGAATATTACGCCAGCACTGTTTTCCCCATTCCAGCTGGTAACATAAGTAACTACTAGTCTAAAATATATCTTGTTGACTCACGGATGCCTGTACACCAAAGTATGCTTCCTGTTGTTGATTTCCATTTCACGAATTCTGGATGCTCCAACAGCCAGTCTCCAGTGTTCTTCTTCCTGATCTCAGAGATAGCCTGATGCCGAAGGAAGAAGTTGATTGGCGAGATCCAGTTGATTAGATACATGTCTTCTTGGACTGTGATAGCTTATAATTATGGCATAACACTTGCTGGAGGTGGACCTACACTCTGTGTTTGCTGCACCATGTATGCTATACATTTTAGGTGAGATTGATAGAGCAAGTTGAACACTAATACACACTGGGTATAGTCTCCAGTCACATAGATCTGTGGGCCATGACCATCACCTCCATGACCCCCATTCAGACCACCACCTCCACCAGTTCCACCTGCAGCAATCACTTCAAATGCGGCCCTAAGCCAGGGCAAGACCATACCTGCGACATTGACGACAGACATTGCGGGGGTATGAGAGGATGCTGGTCAAGAGCAAGATGCAATGCGCATGGGAGTCGGGGCTTCCGCAATGAATTGGCTTGATGCTGCGAGGCAAAGAAGCAACACATCTGACCAATCACACGTGTCCGACATTGATCCGAGGGTCTTTGATTTGACAGGCCTTGATCTTCTCTCTTGACCTTCGCCGTCACTTACTTTGCCCGCTGGTCGAATGAGGGGCAAGTACGGTGCCTTCCGCGGCGCCGACGGGTCAACCGCCTCCGAGTGGCGCCCACTGCTCGATGGCGCGCCTGGGAGATGAGCTCGAGAGAAAACTTGAACGTGCGTGTGCCTCTCTCTGTTGACGGCCACACACCGCTGATGTGGTGGTATGCTCCTAGGAAAAGGACGCACACCGAGGGCGATGAGTGCCCGAAATCTGCTGCTTTCCTGCTTCGCACTGCTGGTGTATCCCTCAACCGAGTGCACACACGCGACCAAGCTTAAGGCACGACGAGAAAGGCTGGTGCTTACACTCTCCGCTACAACGCGTCCGCTCGATATATCGCGTGTGTCGGTTACGGTGTTGGACCCCCTTTTGGTAGTGTCATATCGAAGGAGGCCGGAGACCGGCCGGCTCCACTTTGCGTCTTGGACAAGTTTCCCTGCCAGCGTATCTGGGTTCGAGCCGAGGTAGACCCGCGGCAAGTGTTCGCGGCTGCTCGGATGCATATTGGGGTCTGTTTCTGTTTCTTTTTTCTGGTCGAGTTTGCACTGGTGGCCGACGCGCGAGCGCCGGGCGGGCTTGGGACTGCGTTGGCGGGGACTCGAAGGGGGGGCGGACCTCTTGGACTAGCAGCGGGACTCGGAAGTCGTGTCATCGTGTCTTGTCTTCACGACGCAATCGATGGGGTTGCAAACTTGTCGAATACAGCCCTGGGCGGAACCCCTGTTGCGCCCGCGGCCGCGCTGTGGTGCCTCTTTGCTTATCACGGCTTGTCGTTGAGAGCTTGCAAAATGACGATTCGTTGGATCCGCGGGGGACGCACGGACGAAATGTTGCGTTGCGAGGGCCGAGTGCGGCCAGATCAGACGCTGGGTTATGCATGACTTCGGTCTTGTCGCTGAGTGAGCCATGGGTATATCACGCCCCGGTCCGACTAGCGCCATGGCCAGGCACCAGCCCAGCCCGCAACGGGTAGATCGATAGCTATCGTATCATGTGCGATATCACTATCGCCATCGCTCTGGCTTGCTTCCGGAGGACGACGCATGCGCACCCGCGGGCGGGAGCTACAACACCACGGCTTAGCCCAGGGCCGCCGCCGCCCAGCTGCAGCGCGTCGACGCTTCCTAAGTTCCTTCCTCCGCTCGCCGCCCTCCGCCGCGCGACCCGACCCGGTGATCTGCGCAGTGGCGCCAAGCGGCATCACCAAGGGGACACGTGCACGTGCCACGGGCGTGCTTACTGCACCCGGCGATCGCTGGTCATATGCTGCTGCGTCGGCTAGCGGCGATCTGCGTTCCTCTCTCTCTCTCTTGTCTTCCACCACCTCCACCTTCCTTTACCGCGCCGCCGCTGACCCCCAAGTAAAGGCAACGATGTCCGCGCCCGGCCCGCCGCCGCCGCCGCCCGACCTCGCCGCGATGTGCGTCTTTGCTGTTGACCGGGGGAAAGGAAAGAGATGACGTATGTGGCAGAACGAGCGCGACGCTGGTCGGGTCGCTGCTGAACTTTATGCTGTACGGCGCGCTCGCGGTGCAAGTCTGTGCGTGTTGCTTTTGTGTTTGACAAAACAAGAGGCTGACAGGGTTAAGATGTTTACAACATCTGCTTCCCGACAGACCGCGCGCCGATAAAGTACCTCGGTGCGCCCCCTTCCTTCTCTCCAAACTACGTAAGCTCACGTGCCCAGTGTACACGGTCTTCGCCCTCCAAACGCTGTGCCTCGCGCTGAACGGGGCAGACGCGCAGTTCTGGTACGCGGCGCATTTCGGGGACCTGCGGGCCTTCGCGGACGTGCGCTTCTCCGCGTTCTACACGCCGATCATGGGCTCGCTCGTCGCGCTCGCCGTCCAGCTGTTCTACTGCGTCCGCATCACGGTGTTCCGCACCGGGAGCCGCGCGGTGCGGGGGGTAGTAGGGGTAATCGCGCTGGCGGCGGTGATGCAGGCGGTCGGCGGGATGGGCGGGGGAATTAAGGCGTATGTCGCGGGGAATCAGGAGCACGACCAGGCGCGGACGGTGCTCGTATACGTGCGTTACCAGTCCTTACCTATGGATACCGGCTTACGAAGACAGATGTGGCTCGTCGGCGACGCGGTCGCGGACATCCTCATCGCGGTGACGATGACGCACATCGTGTGTCCCTTCCCTTACGTTCCGGAGGGAAATGCTGACGTCAGTCCAGCTCCGCCAAGCGACCGCGGAGAGCACGAAGCAGATCGTGCGCGGCGTCGTGCGGCTCGTGATCGAGACCAACGCGCTGTCCAGTGCGTCCCTCCCTCCTCTCCATTCACCGCTCACGTCAGCAGCCACCGTCGCCCTCCTCGGCCTCATCCTCTTCGCCGGCGTCCCCGGCACGACCTACTTCATCGCCCCGTGCGTCCGCTTCCCCTTGCTTTCCCTCCGATTTACCCACTGTCGCAGGACGATGATCCTCCCCGGCCTATACGCCAACACGCTGCTCGTCGTCCTCAACAACCGCGCCTTCGCGACCGGCGCCGCCGTCCGCGCGCTCACCCGGCCCGGCGCCTCCGGGTCCGCCTCCGACGACGTGCGCCTGACGCACACGGACACCGCTTCCGGCGCCGCCAGCCGCGCGCTGGAGGCGAGCCGCACGCGGAGCATGCGCGTGCAGAGTGCGAGCCGGCGGCTCCGGTCCGACACGCTGCAGCCCGTGCGCCGGCCGCGCGGCGCTTCTGACGCCGGTATCGGGCCAGAATCCCCGCCGCCGCTGCCAGATAGGGACGCGCTCGGGTCGTTCGTCGCGGCGCCGAATCCCCGAATGCGACGGGACAGGGACCCGCTAGACACGGGGTTCGAGCCAGAGTACGACTACGACGAATACGATCCGGAGAGCGGCGCATATGTCGACGACCGCGCAGATGCGCTCAGCCTGGACGACGTCGGCGCGTTCGTCGCCGTGCCGGGCTCGCCGGGCGCGGTACATGCCTCGCCGCCGGGGCCGGTGAGAGTGCGCGGTGTGTCTTGGAGCAGCGGCGCGGGGAGCTCCGTGACACGGGCGAACTCGGGCGGGTCGGGGTATCCGGTGCGTGTTTATTTCGTTACTTGGGGAGGGGCGGTGGCTGATGGTGGAATAGGACCGCGAGCGGGGCGGTAGTACGAAAGGCAAGACGTGGCTCGAGCCGTAGCAGGATGTCTGTGTATTGAATGTTTCACTGAACTAATTCTCTCTTTTGTGGGTTTCCCGATGTCACATGTGTGATTTCGTCCTGCACGTATGGACCTCTAGATTCAACACTGCATCGTGGGATTTTCAGATGACGTATGTGTATCACTGATGGGATGCAATAAGCGTCTTTTCACTTGACTTTCACCTCCACCATCAAGGGGGGTTCAAGATCCTTATCAGGCACATGGGGTAGGGGGGAGGGGGGGGGGTCCCCAGGGGGTAAAAAAAACTTTTTGTATTTAAAAGATTTGAGCCTTATATGGGTGTAAAGACACTGGAAATATAGTGTATAGACTCTACTTTCTATAGTTCACAACTCTCATACTTATATCTATATACTTTCAGGCCCATGAGCTTGGATAGCCCACTCTGTCATAGGCCCATCATCAGGTAATGGATGAGAGGTGAACATGTTGAAGAATTAATATGGCCTGCCATATGTGTTTGAAGGTTCCAGGTACATACATACATACACATATATACATACACATATATAAAAAATTTTGCAAAAAAAAGTTTCACAAGAATAAATTTTTATCCAACCTTTTGATCACATCAGTGGTCATATGACGCGAATCGTGGGAACATATTACCCGATATGGCAGGAGGGGGGGTCCCCCAGGGGTCGGAAAAAAACTTTCCGACCCTATATCCATGATTCGAGACTTGAACCCCCGTTGTCCACCATCATGCCTATCCACCCCTGCTTTGCGCCGTCAACCCTGCGCAAGCTGCCTGTCGTTCTACGTGTTTGTCCGAGTCACCCACTCTATACTGGTAGTTGACCTACCTCTTCTTCTGGGGCAAAGCACTGGATGCACTCCGTGGCTCGACACAACAGCTTGTCTTCCTGGCTTAGGCTACCGCCGATAACAGGCTCCATGCAAGCGCAAAAGTATTGCTGGCGCCCGGTCTTTTACGGCACACTTGATCCTAGCGGCATTCCCGCGCTGGAGACCCTCGATACCACGCCTGCACCTGCGCTGGAAGTGATGGCCGCCCGCCTGCTGGTGTCTTTACCCGCCTGGGGGTCCATCTTGTGTGTCAGAGATGCTTTCCCGCTCGCCGTCGTGCCCAATCTCTGGGAACGCATCTGGGCCTGGCTCCAGTTCCTCGACACCGCCCACCCACACCTGCCCCTCGCGCTGGGTGTCAGCTTCGCGCACTCCCCCTCTGTCGCCTTCTACTCCGCAGCGATGGACGTCCTCTGCCAGCTGCTCAACATGACATGCCAGACACCCGCTGCTCACGACACCCTCATCGCCACGCCGGAGCTCTTCCCCTTCCTGGGGCACGCCTGGCGGGCACTCACCGACGTCCCCGAGCAGCACGGCATCCCTGCTTTTTCCGCCGCCGCGATGATGGCCATGCCCCGGGCGGGCCCCGCTACCTCCCCGAGCTGATCCGCGGCGTGGGCGGGCCGGCAGCATTTGTTGCCGCGGCCGTTGCGCAGTGGACGCACACCTGCCGCACCACGCCGGCGCCGCGCCGCACGCCGAACACGCCGTCGCTCTATCTCCCCGCCCGCGATGCTCATCGCGGGGACGGCGTCGGCCCCAGCCTGGCGCAATCCCAGCACGCAGTCCCCGCGACCGCGCGGATCGTCCCCCACGATGGACGTCGCAGTCGTCAGTGCCGGGTCGTCCATTGAAAGGGTCGTCCTGAGCGAGCTCAAGCTTAACAACCGGGAAGACAGGGTGGAGCTTGGAGTAACGGGGGGGGAGGTCGAGCTTGTAGGCACCTTTGCTAACCTCTGCGAGCACCTTGAACGGTCCGAGGCGCTTGTGGGAGAACTTCTCGGAGGGCCGAGTCGTTCTGATGTCAGAAGCGTCCAGCCAAACCTTATCGCCAACTTGAATATTCGGAGCGTCCGAACGTTTCCGATCGTAGTACTGTTTATACTCGTCTTTGGCTTTAACGAGCGCGGCCTTTGCCTCGGAGACGCCGTTAGCTATCCGATCGCGAAACTCGTTCACCGACTCCAACTCTGAGCAGGCGCCTGGCTCGAAACCCATTCGGGGGAGCCGACCAGTGTCTGTCACAAAGGGTACCTGTTGAGTGGAGGAGTGAACATGGTTGTTATAGGCGAACTCAGTGGCGGGGATAAGCTCGTCCCAGTCGTCTTGTTGGTAGTTGGTGAAGATCCAGATGTACTGCTCGAGCTCTTGGTTAACGTGTTCGGTTTGTCCGTCGGTTTGCAGGTGGTAAGCCGTAGAGGTGGCCGGTTTGACGCCAATTAAGCGCCAGAGTTCGCGCGTGAAGTCAGCGATGAACTGCGAACCACGGTCCGAAATGTACTTCTCGGGGGGTTCCGTGGTGCCTCCAGACATTCCGATAGTACAACCGGGCGGCTCCGACCGTGTCTATTGTCGTATGGCACTCGGTGAAGTGGGCGCGTTTGCCAAGAGCGTCGACGACTACCATGACCGCGTCGTACCCCGTGAGCCTCGGGGAGCTCGACGATGAAGTCCACCGTGACGGTGTGCCAGCGTTCGGGGGGGACTTCGGTCGGGTGTACAAGTCGCAGGTCGCGACGTAGCGTCCGATATGGCGGGACATCTGTGGCCACCAGTAGTTGTGCGAAACCAGCTCTAGGGCTTTGAACCGACCGGGCGTGTCCGCCCCAGCCTGGCGCAATCCCAGCACGCAGTCCCCGCGACCGCGCGGATCGTCCCCACGATGGACGTCGCAGTCGTCAGTGCCGGGTCGTCCATTGAAAGGGTCGTCCTGAGCGAGCTCAAGCTTAACAACCGGGAAGACAGGGTGGAGCTTGGAGTAACGCGGGGGGGGAGGTCGAGCTTGTAGGCACCTTTGCTAACCTCTGCGAGCACCTTGAACGGTCCGAGGCGCTTGTGGGAGAACTTCTCGGAGGGCCGAGTCGTTCTGATGTCAGAAGCGTCCAGCCAAACCTTATCGCCAACTTGAATATTCGGAGCGTCCGAACGTTTCCGATCGTAGTACTGTTTATACTCGTCTTTGGCTTTAACGAGCGCGGCCTTTGCCTCGGAGACGCCGTTAGCTATCCGATCGCGAAACTCGTTCACCGACTCCAACTCTGAGCAGGCGCCTGGCTCGAAACCCATTCGGGGGAGCCGACCAGTGTCTGTCACAAAGGGTACCTGTTGAGTGGAGGAGTGAACATGGTTGTTATAGGCGAACTCAGTGGCGGGGATAAGCTCGTCCCAGTCGTCTTGTTGGTAGTTGGTGAAGATCCAGATGTACTGCTCGAGCTCTTGGTTAACGTGTTCGGTTTGTCCGTCGGTTTGCAGGTGGTAAGCCGTAGAGGTGGCCGGTTTGACGCCAATTAAGCGCCAGAGTTCGCGCGTGAAGTCAGCGATGAACTGCGAACCACGGTCCGAAATGTACTTCTCGGGGGTTCCGTGGTGCCTCCAGACATTCCGATAGTACAACCGGGCGGCTCCGACCGTGTCTATTGTCGTATGGCACTCGGTGAAGTGGGCGCGTTTGCCAAGAGCGTCGACGACTACCATGACCGCGTCGTACCCGTGAGCCTCGGGGAGCTCGACGATGAAGTCCACCGTGACGGTGTGCCAGCGTTCGGGGGGGACTTCGGTCGGGTGTACAAGTCGCAGGTCGCGACGTAGCGTCCGATATGGCGGGACATCTGTGGCCACCAGTAGTTGTGCGAAACCAGCTCTAGGGCTTTGAACCGACCGGCGTGTCCGGCGACTTGCGTATCGTGGCAGAGCTCGATGATGCGCCTCCTCAGGTCCTTGTCTTTGGGTACTACGACCTTGCCGCGGAAGTACAAGAGATCGCCCGAGACGGCCCACTCGTCCGAACATGATGAGCGGGGGGCCCCGAACTTGACCTCGGACCTTCAAGAGTTGCCGGGCCGCGAGCGCGACGGGCTCCTCTAGGTCAGGCTCACCGGATAGCGCTTCCTTGATGTCGTGGACAAGTTCGGACCCCGGCCCAGAGACAGTGACGGCCTCAAGCGCGCGAACGTGGAAGAGCTCAGGGCGCAAGAGGGTGATGTCCGAGTTGTCTTCAGAGATGCCGTGGTCAGGCCGGCGGGAGAGAGCATCGGGGCGGCCCATCTGGCGACGCGCAGGGATTTTTGATACTTTCCTTCTAATATGAATTGACAGTCAGGTATACCGTCACTTCATATTAGAAAGGATATGTGGGCGGAGACGGATATCGGAGACGGATGCCGGAGTCGGCACGGATATAACAGTATCCCCCTCTTGCATTTCTTGCCCACAAGAAACAGGAGCAATGGTCGTAGAGGTAGGAGTCGGAATCAGAGAGAGTCGGAGTCAGAGAGAGTCGGAGTCAGAGTTGGACTTGTGAAAATTTTGAGTCGAAGGCCGGAAAGGCCGAGATCACCGAGGAAGCCGGTGAGAATGTGATAATAGCAAGAAGGACGGAAAAGGAAACGGGTGACAAGAAGCACGTCACCGGATTGACATCAATCTCTCCATCTTTTACCCACACCACCATGTCGCAAGACAGCGAGAAGATCGACTACGTGCCAAACCTGTTCGCAGAAGACGTCGAAGCGGTATCGACGATATCGGAGACGGAGAGGGTAGGGGATTGGGTGGATGAGGAGGTAGCGCGGGCCCTGGCTGACGTCCTGCCTGATGGGAGTCTAAACCCACAGGTGGAGATGCGGGGGCAGATGGATGACCTGCGGAGAGAGAACGAGGTTCTCCGACAGCGCGCACGGCATGGAGTCCCTGTGCCACCTACACAAGATGGGGAGTCGCTCGCGTACGACCCAAAAGACCCAGCGAACCACGAGCGCATATCGGAGTCGTCATCCGAGCGCGGATCAATCGTGGCACCGCTGCAGTACAACGAAGAGGAGATGGCCGAGCAGATCTCACTGGGTTACCGTGAGCATCAGTGCCGAGCCGAGGAGCAGGAGCGGGCCGAGACTAGGCGGAGACGGAAAGAGGAAGCGAAAGCGGCGAAACAGAGGCGCCGAGCCGAGCAAGCCCGAGGCCGAGTACAGGCTAGGCTATGCCAGGGTCTAGGCCCGCTTACACGTGGTGATCGCGAGGCCGCCGAGGCCCAGATCATTAGCCAAGTCGAGGCTCGAGGCGAGAATCCCGAGAACGCCGAAGAAGCCCAGACCGATGGGTCAATTGCGGGAGTCGATGAAGAAGGCGAAAGTAAGTGCCAAAAATGATTTTGAAATATAATCCTGACCCGATTTGGCAGAGAAATGCCTCAAATGCGTCAAGGCTGGCGTCTTGTGCGTATGGCGCGTGCCGAAGGCCAATACCACCTGGCACGGCAAGATGTCATGTGAAAGGTGCCGAAAACTCAAAGCACGCTGCGAAGACGGTACCCCGCCCCTGCGTTTCCGCAAGGACGAGAAGGAGGCCGGGATGACCAAAGAGAAGGCGAAGAAAAAGACGGCTGCGGGGCCATCGAAGGTCCGACTGGTGCCAAGAGCGGTCGAGGAAGAGGTACCTGCGGAGACACCTGCGGAGTCGTCGATTCCGACGCTCAGCAACGCGGCGCTTTCCGCGGTACTGGCCGACCTGTTGGTACGTCAAAACCAAGACCACGAGCAACTCGGCCGGTTGGTCATGGGGTTGCAGAACCTTGGCCGCGAGATTCGCCACAACGTCGGGCGGGGTCAACTTGGCAACAACAGCGCAAGAAGTGGCCGAACACGTACAGGGTATCGAGAAAACCCTCGATCACTGGGATGCGTTCATTCAGGAGGAAGGCCATCGATGGCGGACTCGGGACAGGGCGGACTCGGAGTCCGTGGACGCAGAAGGCGAGCCATACGAGGAGGAAGGGAAAGAAGTCGAGGAAGATGATGCGATGGATGTGGACGAGGAGCTCCCGGCGAAGGTTGACAAGGGAAAAGGGAGAGCCGAGTAGCGGAGTCGGAGACGCCTCGGGGCGGAATCGAAAACAAGACGATATTAGAAGTATAATGTAAATAGAATTATAATTTCCTTATCTCGAAAATCCGGAACGGAGTGAGATTGAGTTGAGTGATGTTAATCCAACTTAGGCTTGTTGGGGTATTGACGATGGAAGGATTCAATATACTCTTCAGCTTCCAAGTCAGGTGCACCAACCCAAGTGAATTGTTCATCAGTGTTCTCGTAACCAAGCCATTCGACCAGGTAGCGGAGTCGAGCCGGACCCTTGAAACGGCGATCAATCTTGGAGTCAACAATCTGTTTGATTTCGAAGTGTTCTTCTCCATCGACTTCAATTGCCGCAGGTCGTGGCTCTTCGCGACCAGGGAATTTGTTGGGTGTGTGGATTTCGATTTGGGAAACGTGAAAGACGGGATGAACTTGAGAAAGGGATTTCGGGAGACGGACTTGATAGGACGCAGCACTGGGCTTTCCGATGATCTCGAAGGGACCAAAATGCGTTTCCGAGAACTTCGGAGACGGACGCTTGGTCTTGATGTACTTGGTCGAGATAAAGACTTCGTCACCAATAGACGGAGACGGATCCGGAATGCGTTTCCGGTCCGCAGTCTCTTTGTATTGCTCCTGAGCATACTTGATCTGTTCCTTGAGGAACTCGTGCAGCTCTTGGAGATCGACGATGTAGTCCTTAGCATAAACATTAGCCACATCACGCTCTGGATGAATCGTAATAGAGGGATCGTAGCCTTTGTTCGCGAAGAAGGGTGAAATGCCAGTAGAAGCGTTAGGAGCATCATTGAGTGCGAACTCTGTGATCGGCAGTAACTCGTGCCAATCATCCTGTTGGTAAGAACAATAGATGCGAATATATTGCTCAACAGTTTGGTTCATGCGCTCCGTTTGCCCATCAGCAGAAGGATGATAACCCGAAGTGTAGTGGAGTTCCATGTTGGGTAGTTCTCCAAGGGAACGGAAGAAGGAGGACACAAATTCCTTTCTGCGGTCAGAAGTGACGTGGGATGGGACTCCGTGTTTCGAGAAGACGTGAATGAGGAAAAGTCGAGCGAGCTCCGGAGACGAAATATGAGTGTCGCACGGAATCAAAATGACCACCTGCTAATCCCAAATATCTACTCTAATTAGAGTAGATGATATCAAACTCCCTATGTTGCAGTAATGTACAGAATATATCTGCCATAACTTGAATAACTTTGCAGCATAGCAGCATACTTTTATCTCAGTGCCTATGCTGCAACTATAGTACCTATGCTGCAAATAAAGCTTCACTTATAAGGTCATAACACCTATACTACACCTCTGATACCTTTGCTCTGATAATATCTGGTACCCTATTATCTTCTAACCCAGTCACCAGATGAACCAAAAAAGGAAATTTTTTCGAAAATTTCTGACAAATACAATACTTGGCTTACTAGTCCCATGCCCCACGCTCCTCTTCATCCAACCCAATACCAGCCAAGTAGTAGGTGATATCAGATATATATGCATCGTGCGCGCGTCATCTCCTTCATCATCCGAGTCCTCGTCATCAGGGTCATAGCCCTGGATATCTGGCATGCTATCCGCGTCATCCACCGGCAGCGTATACAGAATGTCCACATCCAGGTCCATCATGTCCGGCACCACCGAAGGTCGTACGGCATCACCGTAGGCGAGTGACCCAGTAAAGCCATCTTGTTTGGCTAGAGCTTTGAAACGATCCCTGTGTGTTTCGTCGAAACGGTGTCGGAGAGATGTGTACTCTGCCAGTTGAACAGCAAGGAGAAGGTCTTGCTGCGCTTGCTCAGGCGATTTTCCGGACAAATCCCGCAACGAAGCCTCCACACCCTTCAAGAACTCGTAGTTATCCCGCATCCAGGTCATCAACCGACGGATTTCCACATTCAAGCGCAGAATTTCCTCCTGAGCCCGCAGGGTTTTGTAATAGCGATGCATAAGGTCACAATAAACGGGCCGCGCCCATCGTTGTTGCTGTACATTGTGGGTACTATCACGTAGCAAGTTGAACTCGGAAAGGAAAGTGTGTGTTGCAACGTCCTTCCATTCAAGTGTGGGTTTTGGCGGGTCTTGCAAGACTGCGAGTAGATTGTATTTCTCGACAGCTGCTCGGACGGTCTTGGAACGGACTTGAATAGACTTTCCCAAATGAGTCCGCATTTTGTAACCTTCGTGCAAGCATCAGATCTGGATGTCTTTCACAGAAAAAGAAACCCACATGTCTCCGAACGATGTAGCTTCGACAGCTCCAAAAGCCTCTGTACAACCAACAACTCCAGATGATCTACTGTTTGACGGTATTGGAGGGCTAGAGCATCCTTCTCCGCTTGTTGGTACTGGGTGTCGTCAACTTTCCATCGTTGAACGATGTCCAGTTTAAGTTCAAGCTCTTCGACAGCCTTGGTGTCCCGCTCCAGCTGATCAGTAGCATGACGTTCTTGGATCTGCGCCTTCGTTCGCCCTGGTACATAGTTGGCATCATCGGCCTGCGCTCGACGGGGCGGCACTGCGACATTCTCGCAGAATAAGAACTGAACTAGTGTGAGTATGGCTAGAGCACTGTAATAAGAACATACGTTGATGATTCCAGTTTTTTGAGTGACTTGATATACCGGGTGGTATCTGTCTCCATCGGCTTAGCGCTCTCTTTCAACTCCAATAAATGCTTCTTCTCCTCCTCCAGTGCTTGATCGAAATCCGACACGTCATCGATACCCTCCTGTGCCATCAGGGCGCGAAGACTTGACTCGTCGTCCAAGATGTCGAGGGCTTGGTTGTAATTATCACAGATGAATTTGCCTGACTTGAGTTGAGACAATGAATTGAATGAAAGAGAGCACACGTACTCAGGTTCGCACTTGTTTCAAACCCGTCAACGTGTTTGAAATATGTGGTGATCTCTTGCTGGCGATGGAAAGCGCTTGAGTTACGACACGCTCGAGCAAGTGCATTAGAACGCGAAAAGAAACACTCTAATGTCTCGAGGTCCTCCAGTCCCAAACCCTCAATATAGCTCGCCAGGAAGGCCAGTTGGCAGAGGCGGTTATGGGCATGTCCGTGAAAGGTGCCGACAAGACAGCGGAAGCCCTTGGCAGCCGCCAGATCGGCCAGGGGGCTGTTGGCGATGGTCTTCTCCAAGTTACACCCAACATCATAGCCTCCTCCTCCGTCTTCGTCGTCTATCAGCAGAAGAATGGTCTGAACAACCGCGAGAGCATATTTAGCACTAGAAGGTTTTCAGCACAATAGCAACAACGAAGAAGAGAAAAACAAGTACAGTTCTCCACTCTGTACCATATCCGCAGCCACCATAACATAGCCATGACGACAAAGGGACAGAAATATCCCAGTCTTGTCAAACATCCCCCACATCTTCGCGGTAACATCGTTCTTGATGTTTTTCCATCGCTCGGCGCAGGGGTTACCGGGACCGTGAGACCAGAACAACAATATTAGCTGGATGATCTCCATTATGAGCCATAACAAACCTCGTCCTTGGTTGCCATCCTACCGGAGGGTGTTTTTGCAAACTCGTCGACCCGTCCACGCGGAATATAGTAACCGTTGCTCGCATCACGCGTATCAGGACGCTCCTTGCTTCGAAAAGATTCGCCGTCTTCGTTGAGCTCCTTCCTCGCCACCCTCTTCAAAGAATTGTTCCCATCCATCGAGAAAAGGAAGCCAAATGTGAGCTTCGGCTCATCGCTGAGCTTGTATGTACAGGCCGGACAGACATTTTTAAGGCGCCAAGCTCCGTTGTTGCGTCCGAGGACGGCAAGTACTTTGGCTTCTGCTCGTTGTCGTAAATCGAGTAGAATGTCATAGGCGATAGAGAATTGCTGAACCAAGTAAGGCCGGGGGGGAACCTGAGAAGTACAAAGTAAGTAGTGAACTTGTAGGAGAGAATGAGATAGACGCACACCGTGTAAATCGTTCAAAGTCTGAACGAAGGCATTGATTGTGTATTGAGGGCATCGGGCGTGGGCGACGCGATAAAACTTCAGAGTTTTGAAGGAGATTGCAAGGCTGGGAGACCATGGCGCGCATGGAATAAGCCCTTGAGCAATGAGCGCTGACGCGATGCCGCCAGCACTGGGGTCCAGCCAGATCTCTTGATTATATTTGGTTTCTGCCAAGAGTGAGCTTTTGGATGAACAACATAGTAGGGCGTACCAAACATTTCGATGACGGTAAGACGGTACAAGTCAGCATCCTCCTGGTTGGGTAAGGGCGTAGTCGATGGGTCATCAGCACAAAAACGGAGATATGCTTGGAGCATCTGCGGCGCTTGAATCGCAAATGCGTCCACTCGAGTTTGTGTCCGTTCTCGACGAGTTCGCCAGTCGTGGTATCGAGCTCTAAGAAACATCAATGACAGTAAAACCACGAGGTATCGACTAACCGGGAAGGCTTCGTTTGCTCCAAAAGCCCCTCTACGTCCTCAAAATCTCCTCCAGCATGACTTATCTCTGCTCTGCGAGTACCATCCAGCACGTCGGCAATGCTCGTTATGTTTTCTTGAGACACAAGATCAGACGCATCGAATTCGTCGTCATTTGCAAGGTTTTGAAGGGTCCTGAGGGTATCCAAAGAGCCGGAATCCATGACTGTGAGTAGGTAAGTGTACGGTTTTGGAATATCGATGAAGAGGCGAACTTTCTCTGTCTGCTTCCATCGCCTTTGCCTGGTCAATACGATACTTCTTGATAGCGCTGGAGTTGAGGAAACGGCGTTCAGAGACGGCAGAGGAGAAGATGCCCGAGCTAGGATTCGAGCTGCCCAGCACCGTTAACCGGGCAGACCGAGCAGCAGACCGTCGCATGGTTAGAGGTGGCTCATGTTTGGTCGTGTTGACAGTGACGGTGTGACACTGCTTCTTCCATGACTCGTTCCCGCCATTTGTCTTCACCTTCTCGTCTGGGTCAACCAACCTCTTCCAGCATCCCTGATTGTTGACTGTTCTGCTGCGCAAATGGTATGTACCCTCCTTTACTCCTCTCTGCCTTGTCGCCTTGTCTGACTCCACCTGTCGCAGCCACTTCGTTTCTTATCGGCTTGCGACGACCACCCTCTGCGACGCTCAAGGGTTTAAAGGTATGTTATCCGCTGCTTGCACACTCCTGCAGCGGTTTACCTCTATTGAATAGCTATGCCCTGTCTCTGTCCCCTTCCATCCACATCCTCTGCGACACCCTCCCACTCGTTCTTCTTCCCTCATCACTACCAAAGTACTGTTCTCTCATAACTACGAAAGCGCACCTTATATCGTCAACTCAATCATCTCCACCCACTCTGTACCTCGTTGACTTGCAGCACGGAATGCTCGATGGCCAATATATGTTACCTTTACTCTACAAACACTCCTTTACCATACTGAGCATGAAACGCTCAATTTCTACTCCTTTACTTACCTTGCTCCGCTGCTATTCAACTCATACAGCCTGTGGCCTATCGCCACAGGTTGTCTTGCTGTCGCTGCATAGCGCTAACCCTAACCCTAACCAATAAGAGTAGATAACAAAATAAAAGTCGGGGTGGTTTGATTCTCCTCGATCTTGTAGGAACCCTACATATAACGGTCCAAAGTGTTAGATAAGACTCATAGTACCTGCCCGAGTCAGTAGATGTTGAAATATAAGCTCTGTAAGCTTCCTATTTTTCGGTCGCTGCTGGTCGAGTGGATCTGTCTGGTGTCACACAACAATCCAACAATCATTACTCGTCCAAGTACCAACTTGATACTTGCTTGACTTCTCTCCATGGGCCGCAAGCGCAAACACAATACAGCCGAGCAACAAGCAGCTGCTCGCCGTGTCGCAAACCACAAATATGATACCAGCGAACGGTATGAAACAAGCCCCACTCCCACATTAACTAACAACTGACAGAGGGCACTCAATTCGCGTTGCTCGAGCACGGCGCCATCAGCGTAAAACGGCAAAATCTCGCATCCCTCGCCTAGTACTCCCTAACTTGGTCGAGCACTGGGCAGCTGCTGAACTATACACTGAACGCTGGATCTTTCTTGATGCACAAGAGAACAACTTCAACGACAGAGAGTACAAGCATTGGATCCAACCTCCACCCTTCGATATATCGCTCATCTTGCGTGTCGATGGCCCACCAGAAGAATGCGACCTTATGAATCTCTGCTGTGCCATCGATGGCCTTTTGAAACGTCGTGAACGTCTCTTCGAGGCCAAGCTCTATAACGAGGTGGGGGATGTCCGTCGCCCAAAGGCCATGGAAGCTCTGCGCACTCATGTCAAGTCACTATTGAAGCATGACTGGGCCACCATGCTGGGATATCAGACACTGTACCCAGTACAAAGTCGGGAGTACTTTGTGCATCAACGACACCTGGTATTTCTAGCGCGAATACATCGCATTTATTACCTGGAATTTACTCGTACAGAGTAGTACAGTACCACCACTGTAAACGGGCTCTGAGTTGGACTTCAGAATAGATACTGGGATTTTTGAGAAATTTCTCCCTGGACTTTTGCGAAGTAACATGTGACACGCGACACGCAAGGCTTGACTGCATCGCATCCACTTCAAATGGACCAGTCGAGCGGGTTCTGCCTTCCACCTTTCTTCCCAAGTCCCAACTACCGGTCATTCATGGCTCACGAAGACTCCGACAAGCTGCTTTACTGGCTAGTGCCAAGTGTCGGCGGATTTACCCTACAGTGCATACTTTTTTTTGTCTCATGAATTGCACTCATATCGTTCAGAAGCGCTGCGTTGGCGGCTCCTGGGGCAACTCGGGACAATGTTACTGGACATGCGACATGGAAAGGTCTGACAAACTCATGGAATCTGATTTGCGCACTGGACCACGACAACCCCAAAACAGGGCTACACGATACTCCTCCCTCTACACCCACTGGCGCGACGCTTCCGACTCATGGAGCTACCACCCACACCAGCATTACCACCACAAGTACTACTCCTTCGTCCACAAAGAGTGTGGCCCGGAAGACCTTCACAAGCAGCGATGTCCCGCCTGGTGCTCGTTTCCTTCTCCCGGTCGCTCAGATCGAAAAATACACACACCACTTGGCTTTACCCTCTGCCTCCGAGTCCACTGCCAGGGCTCAACCCCTCACTCGTCGAAAAGGACCAATCTCAAAGCCTGGGTCATCCTTCGATTACGCAGACGAGTCAATCTTGACAGCCGGTCGCATTTGGAATGGGTATCGCGGTAACACAACGACCAGACAAATCTCGCCAATCGCTGAGCTACAAACCGAGCACGCAAATGAGGAAGCACCCGCAAATGAGGAAGCACCACCGACGACTGTTCCAGCCAAAGGAAAGGCGCAGCCAACTCGGCGCGAAACTCTATTTGCGTTCAATTCTACTACGAGAGAAATCTATCGTGACTGGTAAGTTGTCACTTCTGAAGAGTATGGTGTGGATTAACAGGACTTGTGCAGTATCATGGCTGTCGATGAGCTCGAAAGCGGGAAAATTGAGCTCCACAACCGCGCAAGCCTCCAACGGCGCCTTGGTTGTTGACTATCACACAAATCACAATTATCACACTACCCACAATTCGTAGTTCCGTTTTTGCTAGAAATTCAATCCACCTTTAGCACATTCCAAACACCGAACACGGCATCTACGACTCTTCACAAGTGACGAGCACGTCGAAGTTCACCCCTGTTTCGACCCTTTGCTTGTGCACATGGGCACACACATTCGAAGGCATCACATAGGACGAAATCGTACGACCACCACCCTTTGCTCGCACACATCCGAAAGCATCACGTTAGGAGAGTCAGAAACTCATACGACCACCTTCGCTCTTACCACCACTTGACTCGCCAACCTCGTTGCCAACCTCATCTTGGAGAATGCCCTCTGAAGCTCCCGACGAAGTTCCTGGCGACAATCTGGAGGACGTTGTACCCATCGAGGACGATGGAAACCATGATTGGGTTGACGAGTCGCCGCTCAGCAATGTTACTAGCACCCACGCCAGTCGCAATCCCACTGTACCCATCATCGTCAGCCGTCGCCAAAGGCCAGTCAAGAAGGGGGCCAATTATCGTGCCAATCAGCGAGCGCGTCAAGCTGCTAAGGCAAACCGCGGCCAGAATCTTGCTGCCGCTATTCAAGAACTTCTCAAGCCTGTACGCCAGGCAGTTCCTCGGCTTGCCCGGGAGCATGGAATGTCTGAGGCGCAAGTCATACAACGAATCACCAATGCGTCGCGGCATGCTGTGAAGAAGCGGCGGGTTGTGAGCATCCATAACGCGAAGATGAAGTACCTTATGTCTGAACTCAATGCTGGTACGCTTGTTTTTCCGTGCTTCAGGCCCAAGTTCATTGGAAACAGACCGCTCAGTCGGGAGCAAGCTCAAATTGAAGGATGTCCATGCTATGATAGCGGCAGACCCCAGCCTTCTGGACAATATTGCGCAGGAAGACATTGATGCGGCTGTAAACGATATCAAGGCGCAGCGGGAAAACGAACGAACTGGCGTACGGGCAGACAACAAATCGGCAACCATGGATGCCGTCCCACGAGCTCAAGGCAATCGCAACCGATGTGGGTCTTGATCCTCTTCGATTCATACAATGGTAATGACTGAGGGTACAAATTTACAGATGACCCGGCTCAATCAGCGCACGGGGATGATCGGCGCCGCAATATTTTCGCGGGGACACCTCAACGATACTATTGCGCCAGTCGCAATCGATGCTGGCGGCGGCCTTCGCTTCTTTGCAGAAATTCTTGGGAAAGATAGCTCGGAGTTGACTGTGTTATTGGAATTGTGGGCTCTCGCTCGACACAAAGGTATGTATACATATCAGCTTTGGCTTGAGGTCTGACACCATTCTGTCAGGCAAAATAACTGCACCTAACCCGCAAAAGATGAGAACGGAGGCGTCAGCGATGATTCAGAGCATGCTAAGTATGTGTCTGCGTGATTCGTTGGGGGGGTTATTACTGTATTGACTCCTTCACCTTAGACGACATCGTTGGCAAGAATGTCAGGATGAACTTCGACAATTTTGGCAAGAAGATCATTGCGGCGCACAATGTCACTATCATTTGGCCAGATGGTGTTCCATTCAAACGGATGTCGTTGCAAAACAACACGGACACGCGTGTAAGGGCAACCTCGCGAGGCTCGAAATCAGAGTCCTGAGCAGAGACGCTACAGACTCACCTGAGCAGAGGGGGAATCCTTAGAGAACAAGCCAAGGAGCCCTCTGCTCAGGTGCACTACTATATACTAGTGACCGGAGTAATGATAGAGTGACTGCATAGCGACGAACAACGCATGGGAGAAGTCAGGTGTCGCCAATGGACCCTAGGTGAGTGTCGAGTAGCCCTCGAAGCTCTGGAGAGGCAGGTTTGGGACCATGATGCCAAGGGAAGAGCCCAGGCATCCTTAGAAGGCCCAGGAAGGGCTTCGGGGGGTCCAGACTGCCTCTGGGCGTCTCCGCTTGTGACCGTGACCGTGACAACCGGAATCAGAATCGGAATCGGAATCGATTCCGGGTGTGTGACCGTGACGTAACGGCCGGAAACGGAGAGGGGGGGGCATGGAGCGGAGAGGGAAGGAGTCGGTCTAGCCCAAGGGCCGGGGAGTGTCGGAAAGGACCAATAGGAATGGCGGCCAGCCATGACCACTGGAGGGTAGCGACAGGAGGGTCACTCGGAGACGTCCCCGGACGTCTCCAGAGAGGTGGAGGTGTGAGGGCGTGCAGCCTGGGGCGCTGCAGTAGGCACGAGCCTTGAGCCGTAGTGGTAATATTTAGGCTAAAAAGCTCTAGGAATAGCTAGAATAGCGGTAGCCTAGA